AGACCCTGGTGTGGCTATGTGCCGTGCTAGACACTGGTGTGGCTATGTGGTCTTTGAGCTATGACTGTGCCATGTTTCCTGGCTTTGGCCCCCTCCCCTACCTTGGGGAGGTGAATCTCCTCTCTTTTTTTTTTCTCTCTCTCTCTAAATTACCTTCTAAATAAACTATATTTTCTAATCTAACTTCTGTGCAATTCTTTGCACCTTTCATGTAGCATGGGATCGCACACCAGACACACCCCCCACACCCAGCGGGCCTGATCTTACAATCTGAAGGCCCCGCTGAAAGTGTGCCCTAACATTTTTGGAGGCCCCAGTGAGATCTAACAAAATCCTTTTCCTTTTTTGGGGGGGGGATTGGAGTGTCACTCTGTCACCCAGGCTGGAGTGCCGTGGCATGCTCAGGGCCACCCCAGCGTCGACCTGCTAGGCTCAGGCAATCCTTTTACCTCTGCCTTCCAAGTAGCCAGAACTACCAGTGCGTGCTACCATGCCCAGCTAATTTTTGATTTATTTACAGACAAGTTCTCGCTAAGTTGCCCAGGCTGGTCTCAAACCCGTGGGTTCAGGCAATCTACTTGCCTCGATCTCCCAAAATGCTGGGATTACAGGCTGAGTCACCGAGCCCAGCCTCCTTTTTTTTTTTTTTTTTTTTTGAGTTGGTGCCTCACTCTTTCACCCTGGCTGGAGTGCAGTGGCACAGTCACAGTTCACCACAGCCTCAAATTCCTGGGTTTAGGTGACCCTTCCACTGCAGCCTTATGGGTATCTGGAACTACAGGCGTGTGCTACCATGTTTGGCTCATTTTTTAATTTTTTCGTAAAGGAGGAGGTCTCACTGTTTTTGAATTTTTTGTTGTTGTTGTTCAGTTGTAGTTCTTTATATATTCTGAACATCAATCCCTTATCAGATACATGGTTTGCAAGTGTTTTCTCCCATTCTGTGAGTTGCCTTTTCATGCTGCTAGCAGTGACCTTTGATGCACAAAAGTTTTTAATTTTCAGTAAGCCCAATTTGTCTATTGTTTTTGTTGTTGCCTGTGTTTTTGGTGTTATATCCAAAAGAATCATTACCAAATCCAACATCATGAATCTTTTCCCCTACGTTTTTTCTAAGAGTTTTATAGTTTTACCTCTTATATTTAGGATTTTGATCAATTTTGAGTTAACTTTTGGTATAAAGGAAGGGTCCCACTTCATTCTTTGGTGTGTGGATATCTAGGTTGAGGAAGATGTACTTTTTTTTTTTGAGCTGGAATCTCACTCTGTCACCCAGACTGGAGTGCAGTGGCACGTTCACAGCCACTACAGCCTCGACCTACTGGACCTTCCACCTCAGCCTTCAGAGTAGCTGGAACCACAGGCATGCGCTACCACACCCGGCTAATTTTTGATTTATTGTAGAGATGAGGTCTCACCAAGTTGCCTGGGCTGGTCTCAAACCTGCGGGTTCAGGCAATCCACTCACCTTGGCCTCCCAAAGGGCTGGGATTACAGGCTGAGCCAAGCCCGGCCGGGAAGATGTACTTTTATGCCAAAGAAAATTGGATCAGGCTTCACAAGATGAATCACTTGCACAAGGATGCCTGCCCATCACCCACCTGTAGCCCAGATTCCTGACCTCCCACAGAGAGGCCTGTGACTCGGGCTCTCCGTGATCTAAGAATGAAGGATCCTGGTCCCCTTACAGACAGCAGACAGAACCAAGAGGGACTGCAGTGGCAGAGGAATGCAGGCAGCAGAGGCCTCAACCTGTCTCTTCTGCTGGCATCTCCGTGTGTAAAGTGGGTAAATGCCTTGTTGGGTTATTGTCTAGATTTAATGAGAACATGAGAAATATATTTGTTCCTCCTCCAGTGGTACCACTTGGATATCCCTCTTTCTGTGATACCTTTCCTACTTCCCTAGGTAGAGAGAGCACAATTCTGTCTGCCTTCCATTTGCATTCTGTTGACCCTTCCCATAGTACCTGGGAACTCTGTGGTACTCCCATGGCTGCCCCCCCCCCATACACACACACACACACACACACACACACACACACACACACACACACGGAGGCTGAGCCTCCCTTTCTTTCTCTTCGAGACCCAAGGCATCATGCCTACTTCACCCAGTGTTGTGACTTATCCTTGACAGGCACAGGTGTTGTGTTTCATACTTGTTGAAATGCAAATTCCAAGTCCCTGGGGTATGCTAGTAGGTAGATTCCAGAAGAGCCAGGAGTGTGTATTTCCACAAGTTCCTAGGTGATTGGGCATTGTGGCTTGAGATCCAAGATATACCACTGTAATGCATCTTGATCACTTGTCCCCTATGAACTTTGACCCTGTCCCAGCCCAACCACCCATGTCCCCGCTACACGGGGGATTTTGCAGCCCCTGTAACAGCTTCCTTCTTTCCTACTGGTTCTCCCTTTGGTGACTCCAGTGAGCCCCATCTCACGGCTACCTGCAGCTCCTGATCCCAGTCTTCCCTGTGTTCTGACTCAATGAAGGATCCTGGCTCCCTGTGGGATCTCCCTGCTCTCTTCGGAGCCTGCCAGTTTCAGACATTCTGTCTCCAGTAGGGTGGTCCTGGGTCTCCACCTGGGAGCTATGGATGCTTGTTATCTATAGACTGGCTGAGCCTCTCTCCAGGTGGGGCCTAGACTGCCGTGTCCATCAGATGCTTGCTGGTCCTGCTCAGACTGTTCTGGAAGACTATCTTGAAGAAGGACCTGGGGCAGAAGAACAGCCCACATAAGCCTCCTAAAAGGCCTACTGGAATGAGTGGCTCGCCCAGGTCAGAGGCACGTTCTTCCCGTCTTCTGCATGGCCAGGTCCAGCATCCTGTGGGCCAGGCCGGCGCCCTGCTTGTTGTGTTTTAATTAGCAAAGCATACCTATGGAGCTCAAAACTGCACCTGGGGCAGTGTGTCAAGATCTGGGGGGTGACCAGCTCCAGGTGTGCACAAACTCCCCAAAGTCCCACCCCGGCCTGCTTCCACTGGCGTAGGTGTCCAAAATGCTGTCACTGGTGAGCTGAGTGAGTGGAGCTGTGGCCCCACCCTGCCTGAATGAGGGATGGACAGCAGGCCGGGGGCGGTCTCGAGCACCAGGAAACCATCTGGTCTGCCCTCACCCACCTCACCCTACCACAAGGGAATCTGTCCCCTGAAATCAACAGAAAAGGGGGGGAGGTCCCACCATGAACACAATACTGGGCTGTCCCTGAAGTGAAGCATCCATGCTCAGTGCTTTTAGAGTAAAGGAAGGGTGGAGTTTCTAGAACTTTCTAGAAGGAAGGAAAGCCGTCCAACGGGTTTTGTGCCTGTGGGCTGATGTAGAACCCCGCCCATGGCCCAGCTCCTCCCAGCTCCAGAGACTAGAACATTCCTGGAAAGGGCTGAAGCCAGGTCGGCTCTGTCTTGTTTCACTCCTGAATGTTTCCATTTTTTTCAAGTTTGCTTAAGGAGTGAGTTCTGGGCCTTGAAACTCAAATGTGTTTCTGACAGAAACACCACCGACTTGGACTCACTGGCCCTTGCATCAGGCAGGCTTCCCCATGACCCAGCTGTGCCTTCCTGGCTGCAGCTGCACAACCTGCCCGGGATGACCTTCCCTCCCAGGGCTCCTCTGCATATGCCTCCCAGAAGTGGTCAGACAGGATTGCTCCCAGCTGTAGTTTCCTTGGGTGGGGCCCGGAGCCCCACCTGGGCCAACATTCTCCCCACATGCCTCTACCAGGTGTCCACACCACCCCTCTACGAAAATGCTCCCAGCTCAGCCCACCTCAGAGAAAAACAGAAATTGACAAAATGGCCATGTTTTAAAATATTATCATTTAGCTGCTTTATTGAGACATAATTCACATACTATAAAGCCACCCATTTAAGAGAAGCAATTCCATGGTTTTAAGTATATTCACAGTGTTGTGCAACCATCATCACAGTCTAATTTTAGAACATTTCTGTCCCCTCCCAAATAAATTCTTTACCCATAAGTCTCTCCTGCTCCCCGTCCTCCCTCCAGCCCCAGCAATCACTACTCTACCTTCTTTCTTTTACTTTTTCTCTGTTGCCCAGGTTAGAGTGCAGTGATGCAATCATAACTCACTGCAGCCTTGAATTCCTGGACTAAAGCGATCCTCGGGCCTCAACCTCTCAAGGTGCTGGGCCTACAGGGATGAACCACCAATCTACTTTCTGCTTCCATGGACTTGCCTGTTCTGGACATTCATACAAGTGGGAGCACATCCTATGGGGCTTTTGGTGTCTGGCTTCTTTCCACAAGCATGATGTCGTCAAGGCTCATCTGCTTAAGCCTCTTTTATGGCTGAGGAATATTCCATCATGTGATATGCCACGTTGTGTTTATTTACCTGTGGATGGACATTTGGGATGTTCCCACCCTTTGACGCCTGTGAATGATGCTGCCGTGAAATTGGTGTACAAGCTTGAGTGTGAACTCATGTTGTTCCCTGGGCACACTCCAATGGATGGAATGGCTAGGTCATACCCCACGTTTATCTTTTCGGGGATCCACCAGACTTTTCTGCCTGTGCATCCCCCCAGCTGTGTGCGGCTACATTCCTCAGCCCCGATCGTGCACTTACTTGATTCTAGCCATCCCAGGGGAGGCGCAGCGGCATCTCCCTGTGGTTTGGGCTTGCCATTTCCTGGTGACCGACGATGTGGTGTCGTCACGTGTGGCCTCTTCTCATTCACAGACACATTCAGCCACCTGGGCTTCTGGGGTTGGGCGCTGGGCTGGGCTCCGGGCTGTTGGGGTGGCCCCACCAGACACAGCTCGGTCACTTTCCGCATCCCTGATGGGACGAGAACACTGCAGGTCCGGCAAACCCAGGTCTCAGCGCCTGGGCCAGGGATGATGGTGGGCTGAATCCTCTCCCTGAGCGCCCCCACGCCAACTCCGGACCAACGAGCCGCGCCTCGCGCAGGAATCCGCTCCGGGCGCCGCCCCCGGGTCCACGCGTCCGGGTCTGCGCAGGTGTCGGATACGCGCCGGGGTTAGCGCGGCGGTTACTGTGGATCTGCCTGGCGGGACCTCGCTCCAGGTCCGCGTGGATGCCGGCCAGCACGTCGGGTCCTCGCGGCCCAAGGGACACACCAGACCCACTTGACGCCCCGCCCGGGGCTCACATGGACGCGCGGGACCCGGAAGCCCCCGGCGGGCGCGCGCTGCGAGACGCGGTGAATGCCCCCTCTCTCCCCTGTCCCCTGCCTCACCTTCCTCCATCTGGTGCCCCTCCGCCTCCATCTCCCTCCTCCGTCTCTGCCTCCCACCCCCGTCTCTCCCTCCTCCATCCCGTGACCCCTCCGTCCTGTATCCCTCTCCGCCGCCTCCCTCCTTCCCCCTCGGTCCTCCTTCCCCCTCCGTCCTCCTTCCCCCTCCGTCCTCCTTCCCCCTCCGTCCTCCTTCCCCCTCCGTCCTCCTTCCCCCTTCGTCGTCCTCCCATACCCCGCTCCGAAAGAGCTTCCCGGTGGTCCCGGGGCCTGGGATCCGGTGTGGGCATGAGCGATACTGGTGCTACCCGGTTCAGTTTGCAGTTGGCTCTCGCGGCTCCCGCACTGCTTGTTGAAGATTTTTCCTTTCCCTCTGAATCTAAGGCCTTTGGTATCCCTTGTCAAAAGGCAACGAACCATTTACGGACGGGTCCAGTCCATTATATGTGAAATGTCTCCCACCAATGGTAAATATTGTATTCAGTGCCTTGTGGTTCATTTTTTTCAGGCGGAAGATCTATTTCAGGAACTTCAAGAACATTTTCAAGCTCTGACTGTAACATTAAACCTCAGAAATATCCTTTCCTATCTTTAACAAATACTGCAATGCTTTTGGGCTCTTACATTATATGGGATATATTTTTGTCTATTAGGAGGTAATTACTTGCCTAGGATTTCCCAGTATTTACATTTGGGCTTTCATGTGGCCTCATGGTATATTAATCCTTACTCACCCGGGCAGAAGGTTTTACTTCCTGCTTGAGGGATCACAGGACATTGTGTATAAATAAGTATAAAGTACAAGGGACACAAATGTACAATACCACCTATGGCCCTTACATCACCCTCACTGGACTCTCACAGGCAACCAGAAACCTCAGGATGCAATGCTGACAGTCCCCAACACAGGATGCTAGATACAGCTCCCCCTGTCTTTGTTTCATTTTGTTTAACTTCAGCAACTCACTGTTTTGTCTTAGAAACACGAAATCAAACAGAATTAGGATAGAATGTTTGTAGTTTGAGCCAATCCATATACAGGTAACATCTACCCTAGAATTTGCCCAATTTGAGTTCAGTCTATACAATTAAAGTGTATTCCTTAAAAACTTTGTGCTTGCAACTTTTGATTTTGTAAATGGGTTACAAAATCAAAAAATTTTGAGAACAAAAACGATTTTCAAACATAAAATTAACCATAGGAAGACTGGTTTTAAAAAGAGCTAATTTCAGCCTGTAATCCCAGCACTTTGGGAGGCCGAGGTGAGAGATTGCCTGAGCCCGGGGGTGGTTTGAAACCAGCCTGGGCAGCTTGGTGAGACCACGTCTCTACAATAAATCACACAAAAAACTAGCCAGGCATAGTGGCATGCGTCTGTAGTTCCAGCTACTTGGAAGGCTGAAGCGGAAGGATTGCCTGAGATCGTGGCTACAGTGGTTGTGAGCGTGCCAGTGCACTCCAGCTTGGGTGACAGAGTGAGACTCCAACTCAAAAACAAAACAAAACAAAACTAATTTCAGCCAGGCAGTGGCGTGCACCTGTGGTCCTAGCTATTTGGGTGGTGGGAGGATCACTTGAGCCTAGGGGGTTTGAGGCCAGTCTGAGCAACATAGCAAGACCCTCAGCTTTAAAAAAGAGTTTATAAAGAGTTAATGTCCATTATATTTACATATTCAGAGTTGGCTTAAACATAGACAGCCTCATATCCATGTCCAACCAAGGAGAGCCAGGTTTTCAAAATGAGCTCACAGTTTAAAGGTTAAAGGTACATGGTGAGAAGGCCAGGCATGGTGGCTCACAACTATAATCCCAGCACTTTGTGAGGCGAAGGAGAGAGCACTGCCTGAGCCGAGGAGTTCGATACCAGCCTGGGCAACTTGGCGAGACCTCATCTCTACAATAAATCAGAAAATTAGCTGAGTTCGGTGGCACATGTCTATGGTTCCAGCTACTTTAGGAAGGCTAGAGCGGAAAGATTACCTGAATCCAGCAGGTTAAGGCTGCGGTGGCCGGGAGCATGCTACTGCATTCCAACTTGGGTGACAGACTGAAAAAAAAAAACGTACACAGTGAGAAAAACTCAGGTAAATAACTAATTTGCAATGACATCAAGACTGTCTTTGATCCCTCATTTTAACAGTTGCATCTGGCATGGCATTTTTATGAGTACCTTTGGCATGTAGGTGCAGTCTGAAGCAGGGTCTTTGAGGGCATTTTTAGCTAGCTACTCTATTCCAGTTCTACACGTGCAGTTTTCCTTAACATTGTACTGGAAGAAATGGGGCATCGCATTGAGGAATTGCAGAAGAATGTAAATGACTTAATGGTGCAAGCAGGGATTGAAACTTCTATGAAAGAACAAACGGTAAGGTCATTTTCAGAAAACTGTTCACCTTCTGAATATTTTTGGATTGTTTTGTCTTGAAAAATACAATCCCATATTTGCTCCCTGTGGGAATTACTGTTCTCTGTGCTACATGAAAATCTCTAGGAATAATAAAAGATATTTCTGAATGCTCTTTTTCAAATAGACCTATTAAAATACTCTCATAAAATTCCTTTAAAAGTACAAATTTTAAATGAAAAGCTCTCTTATCTAAATATTGTATACTATTAGAGTACTTTTCACCCCTATTCCATCAAAACACAAATCAGATGAATTTGAGGCAGGAAATTATAACTACTAGTTTCTGTTTGAAATTATATATTCATGTAACCATTTAAAGTTGCTTTATGTACATTAAGCCCTGATTTAACACTTAGTCTTGAAGATGCAAATAAATGTTTAGTTTCAGGTCTCAAACTGCTTTTATGCCCATGTGACACTTATGGAGATACATAACTTTTATGAAAATGTTTGTGCACATTTTTATGACAATATTCTGAATTTATGTATGAACATATCAAATTGAAACATTCAGATGCCTTTGTTTACTGACAGTTGTTATCCCAAATTATCCTGCTAAAGCAAAGCTAGTTTACTTGTCAGTGACTTATTAATCTCTAAATCTGGTATCCTGGTAAATAAGATCATTCACCCTGTGTCCTGCTATACAGGAGCTGCAAAACACTGGTGGGAGGAGCTCTAAAACACTGATGAAGACTAGAGCATTACCTGTTAAGGTTCTATCAGACAGGTCCCACCTGCCCAGAAGCCCCTTGGCCTTCAAGCCCTCCACCCTCCAACTATAAGTCTCTGAGGCTAGGCTGCCTATCACTTGAGATCTTAGACCCTAAGGGCAGCACCATGTAGGCCTGACCTCTATGGGACACCAAGCCAAGAGGTTAGCACAGAGCCAGGCGCAGTGTAGTGTTCCAGTAACTAAACTGCCCAGTCTTCAGCTGGCTGTTGTAGATTAGATTTTTAAAACCCACTAACTATTGGGTATCCGTTAATGTTTAAGTTTTTTTGATGTGCATATAGCCATTAGAAGCAGCAGGAGAGAAGGTCCAATATCTAAAATTGTATTTAAAAGCTGGTAATCCCTTTAAATTAAAGAAGCACCTGTGTAAGTTTAAATCTGTATGGATCAACCTGTGTTGGTTGGCTGTCAGGGTTCTTAACATAGGATTTATGCTGTGGATTTCAGGGGGTTCTGCAATCCCCTAAATGTGCTCCTGTTGGGGAGGAGACTCCGTGACCCCAAAATGTTTAAAACTTCTACATCCTGATAGATTTGGCATTGTATCAGCCGCCCCATTAAATGACAGTATCTGTAATCCTTTTCCTGCATTTAGCTAACATGCGGACAGACTGTGTATTGTTGGAAAAGCATGTTTCCCTGAATACTTCTAGTGGTTGGTCATGGTAATGGAATATTTTACAGCAGTTATGTTTTGTTGTTTGAAGAGGTCATGTTGCTTATTCATTGTGAATTTTGAATCAACATGGGCTCTCATTTGACTAAAAGGAAAATCATTTTACATTTATGTTTTTCTGTGTACCGAATTTTTTCTATACAAAAATGTTGAGTAATTATAAGAAATTGAGGTACTTTCTTGAAAACTTTGGATTTGAGTTGATTTAAATTGATTTAATTGTACATTAATAATACATAAATCAACCTTTTTCAAAATTTTTTTCTTACAGACCTGAAGATGTTATTAAACAAGTCTTTTGAAACTGGGATAAAATGAAAACCATGCTTTTTAGTAACAATTTATGTAACATGAACTCTGATATTCAGTATTTAATTTTAAAATTTATTTTAGTAAAATAAAGTACTAAAATATAATTCAAGAGGTGATTAACCACTTACTAAAGATGGTTGTGAATAATAGTGGAATATTTTTCAATGCATATCTAATATTTATACATCATAGAAGAAAGACATAAGCTGTATTAGTTCAAATTTTTTTTCCAAATTAAAATTTTGTATAGATCTTTTTTAAAAGATCATAGACCAGGCATGGTGGCTAACACCTGTTCCAGCACTTTGGGAGGCCAAAGCAGGAGGATTGCTTGAGCCCAGGAGTTCAAGACCAGACTGGGCAACATATTAAGACTCCATCTCTATAAAAAATTTTAAAAATCAGCTGGGTGTGCTGGCGCATGCCTGTAGTCCCAGCTACCCAGGAGGCTGAGGCAGGAGAATCACCTAAGCCCAGGAGGTAGAGGCTGCAGTGAGCCATGATCGTACCACTGCATTCCAGCCTGGTGACAGAGTGGGACCTGACCCCCAAAAAAAGGTGGTAGTGGGGGAGAGGTCAGTTATAGACTCTCATTTTAAAAAATTATTATTCTCTTGTATTATAAATCATGTTCTTCATACAAAACTTAAAATCACCCAGAATTTTACTGCCAATTAGCCACTGTTAGCATTTTTTCTATGCATAGTCTTACATAGTTGATCATATTGCCTATAATCTAATATCCTGATTTCCTTGCATGTCATATTTTTCCTACAAGAAAATTTCACACATATTTTTGCTATGGCTGCCTAGTAGTCCATCACATGGCTGTAATATATTTACAGTTTACATGTAATATATTTACAATTAAGTATTAACTATTCTCTTGGACACTGAGGTTACTTCTCACTTTCATGCTATTATAAATGATGTGTAATGAGCAATCATTGATGAATTATCTGCACATTTCCTTAGGTCAGAAGTGTGATTGAAGGGCAAGTGCATTTAGCCAAATTCAGAAAGGGAGCATCTTGGATACTCTCAACAATAGGGCCTGTCTTTTTATTTTATTTTTTATTTTTTTATTTTTCTGAGTTGGAGTCTCACTCTATTGCCCAGGCTGGAGTGCAGTGGCATGCTCACTGCTATAGCAGCCCCAACTTGCTGGGCACAGGCAATTTTTCCACCTCAGCCTTCCAAGTAGCTAGAACTGCAGGTATGCACCATCATGCCTGGCTGATTTTGGGATTTATTGTAGAGATGAGGTCTCGCCATGTTGCTCAGGCTGGTCTTGAGCCCCTGAGCTCAGGTAATCTTCTCACTTCTGTCTTCGAAAGTGCAGGGATTACAGGCCTGAGCTACCACATCCAGCTGGGCCTGTCTTTTTAAATGCTATTTGTTTATTTAGGGATGGAGTCTCACTCCTGTCACCCAGGCTGGAATGCAGTGATGCAATCATAGCTCATTGCAGCCTCAAACTCCTGGGTTCAAGCAATCCTCTTGACTCAGTCTCCCAAGTAGCTCAGACCACAGGTGCATACATTGCGTTCAGCTAATTTTATTATTTTTTGTAGAGATGGTGTTTCACTATGTTGCCCAGGCTGGTCTTGAACTCTGGACCTCAAGTGATCCTCCTGTCTCAGCCTCCCAAAAGTGCTGGGATTACAGACATGAGCCACTGTGTATGACCAATGCAAATCTTTAAAAATGCCTCATTTAAATTCAATATTCTTGGTAGTTGAATATCAAGATAGTTGATTTGATTCTGTGAAAAATTATAGTAGATATTTTAGTTGAAGTAACCCAAACAGGTTGAATCCTCATCAGTAACATAAAGCAGTTTATAAATCCAGTATTTAATTTTATTTTATCTGATTTTTTTTTTTTTTGAATTGGAGTCTCACTCTGTCACCCAGACTGGAGTACAGTGGCCACTCCCGGCCACTGCAGCCTCAACCTGCTGGGCTCCAGTAATTCTTCCGCCTCAGCCTTCCAAGTAGCTGGAATTACAGGTGCGCGCTACCACACCAGGCTAATTTTTTTTTTTTTTGAGTTGGAGTCTCACTCTGTCGCCCAGACTGGAGTGCAGTGGCTGCTCCTGGCCACCGCAGCCTCGACCTGCTGGGCTCCGGCGATTCTTCCGCCTCAGCCTTCCAAGTAGCTGAAACTACAGGCGCGCGCTACCACGCCCAGCTAATTTTTGATTTTATTGTAGAGATGAGGTCTCACCAAGTTGCCCAGGTGGGTCTCGAACCCGCGGGCTCAGGCAATCCACTCACCTCAGCCTCCCAAAGTGCTGGGATTACAGGCTGAGCCACCGAACCCGGCTTTTTTTTTTTTTTTTTTTATTGTAGAGATGAGGTCTTGCCAAGTTGCCCAGGCGGGTCTCGAGCCCGCAGGCTCAGGCAATCCACTCACCTCAGTCTCCCAAGGTGTGGGATTACAGGCTGAGCCACCGAGCCCGGCTTAAACCCAGTATTTTAAAGAAATTAAGTAGAAAAGAAAGCTTCCATTAGTTAGCTAAATTTAAAACTGAGACTGTCAAAAATATACTAACTTCTTTTTAAATGAAGTTCTAAGCTTACCCCTTTTTATATAGATTGGCATTTAACATCTCAAATATTCACTCAAACCACAGACCTACCCATAAGGAAATCAGTTGTTATTATATAATATCAGTATGTGCTTGAGTATCTTCTCAATTTTTTATAAATGATTGCTATTTTCCAACACTCTGTTCTATATATTTAAAAGGCATCTGAGGCTAGGCGCGGTAGCTCATGCCTGTAATCCCAGCACTTTGAGAGGCTGAGGTGGGAGACTCTCTTGAAGCCAGGTGTTTGAGACCAACCTGAGGAACAAAGCAAGACCCTGTCTCTACAAATAAAAATAAAAATTAGCTGGGCTAATTTAGAGACCCTGTCTTTAAAATAAATAAATAGGCATCTGAGAGTTTTCAAAAGGAAAGGAGGGAAATAGATAAATTTGTACAGGGCCAATCACTCTTGTTTTAATATTTATTATTTAAGATGTATGTCCCTAATGTAGATTAATACAAAATTTAATAGAAAGCAGTTTGTTCACAGAATACTTAAATAAAAGAGTTAATTCAATATCAAATGCAATATTTGTATCTATTATTTAAAACTCATTTAACACAAAGTTATGAAAATATAAAGCTTACATAAAGGGTAAATGTCTGGGTACAATTTTCTGAAATTTACCAAATTTTAAATTAAAGCTACCTTTTTTATTGGAGTATAATTATTTAAAATGCAAACCAGGTTACTTATAACCCTGACCACAGGAAGGTCCCCAGGTCTCAGAAAGGCCCAGCTGCCTCCCACCAGAGGAGTAGGTCCCCTTCTGGCAAGTCATTTCCCCCACAGTCCCTAGTCACCCCCTTTTACATCTTCAGCCTGAGAAGTTTCCTCAGGACACGTCCCTGAGCTCCTCTGGGCTGGCTGCACGCCATGCTGTCACGCACCTCTCTTGTTGGGCATCACAGCTGTCATCCACGCATCCATGATCTTCATCTGCCTTGTGGGGCAGCACTATGTTTGTTTTGTTCTTCGTGTGCCCAGTGCTGGGCACGATCCTTGCAGCCCAGGAACAACTCAAAGATTGTTTGGAATTAATGCATTTCAAGTTTCAAAATACCTTGTACTGTTTTCTGTTTTTTGGGGGGATTTTTTTTGAGTTTGAGTCTCACTCTCTATCACCCAGCTTGGAGGGCAGTGGCATGCTTCTGGCCACTGCAGCCTCGACCTGCTGGGCTCAGACGATCCTTCCGCCTTAGCCTTCCAAGTAGCTGGAACCACAGGCACATGCCACCATGCCAGGCTAATTTTTTGATTTATTGTAAGATGAGGTCTCACCAAGTTGTCCAGGCTGGTCTCGAACCCATGGGCTCAGGCAATCCTCTCACCTCGGCCTCCCCAAGTGCTGGGATTATAGGTGTGAACCACCATGCCCAGCCTCCCCTGTACTGTTTTATAAGATGCTTTTTGTTGTGGAGAAGAACTAAAGGCCAGAGGAAGAAAGTATACTGACACAGTACCTGGATGCATCCTTAGCAGAGCACCTTAGGCTGCCTGAGGCAGTTCAAATCTCATCAGGACAATGTAGGCATTCTTTTTTAAAAAATCAATTATTTATTTCAATAACTTTAGGGAGTACAAATAGTTTTTGGTTATGTGGGTGCATTATACAGTGGCACCGAAGTCTGGGCTTTAAGTATACCCAGTACCTCCACCTGTGCACACTGTACCTGATAGGTGATAAAATTTTATCCCTCCACCCTTTCTCCCCTCCCCCTTCTGAGTCTCCAGTGTCCATTGTTTAGCTCCCATTTATAAGTGAGAACATGCAGTGTTTGTTTTCCATTACTGCATTAGTTGACTTAGGATGATGTTCTCCAATTCCACCCAAGTTGCTGCAAAACATATTCATTCTTTTTTTATGACTGAATAGTAGTCCATGGTATGTATGTATGTATGTATATAATATATGCCCCCCAAAAAGGAATTATTTTTTGGAGGGCAGGCCCCTTGCAGTACAGGCTTCCCTCATTAGGTAAGTGTTCTAGGAACAGCCTCAGTGTACCAGCTAGAGTTGTTGTGAGAGGCTGCATTTGGCTTCAGTGAATTGAGATTCTTTCAGTGTTTCTGCCCATTTCATGATGAGTGACTTGCAAGTGCACCTGCCCACACCACACGGAATGTTCAGCAGTTTTTGACCAAAAAAAGGTGGTACCCCACCTTCCCTATCACCCCATCTCACCCTGAGTGGCTTTTTTGTTTCCCTGGATTAAAAAAAGCCCTCAAAGGAAAACGTTTTGCTAATGTGGAAGAGGAGAAACAAAAAAACAGCAGAAGCACTAAAAGGCATCCAAATTGAGAAATTCAAAAACTGTTTTGAGCAGAGGAAAAAGCGTATCCATAGCCGTATTGCATCAAATGGAGAATACTTTGAAGGTGTCTGAAGGTGTAAGAATAAATACACAACTTTTAATAAATTCTGGGTTTTTTGGGATCCCCCTTGTATACCACATTTTCATTATCCACTGATCCGTTGATGGACATTTAGGTTGATTCCACATCTTTGCAATAGTGAATTGTGCCACAACAAACGTAAGTTCAGGTGTCTTTTTTTGTGTAACGACTTCTTTTCCTCTGGGATTATAGGCGTGAGCCACAACACCCAGCCTCCCCTGTACTGTTTTGTAAGATGCTTTTTGTTGTAGAGAACTGAAGGCCAGAGGAAGAAAGTGTACTAGCATAGTGGGATTGCTGGATCAAATAGTAGATCTAATTGCTTTTTTCTTTCTTTTCTTTTTTTTGAAAAAGCAGATTTATTAAGAGGATGGAAAATCTCCCACAGTGGGAGGTGACCCAAGCGGGTTGCCCCTATTTGCTTTTTTATTGGTTAGTTTGACATGTTTGTAGATTCTGGATTAGTCCTTTGTCTATCTATAGTTGGCGAATATCTTTCATTTTGTAGGTTGCCTATTCACTCTGTTGATGATGATGATGATGATTTCCGAGTCGGAGTCTCACTCTGTCACCAGGTTGGAGTGCAGTGGCAGGCTCATGGCCACCACAGCCTCAACCTGCTGGGCTCAGGTGATCCTTCCAAGTAGCTGGAACAATGGGCACATGCCACCACACTCGGCTGATTTTTGATTTGTTGTAGAGACAAGTTCTCACCAAGTTGTCCAGGGAATCCTATTTCTTTTTCCTTTTTTTTGGAGTCAGGGTCTCATTCTGTGGCTCAGGCTGGAGAGCTGTGACATGATCATGGCTCACCACAGCCTCAACCTTCTGGTTTCAGGTGATCCGTCTGCTTCAGCCTGCTGGATAGCTGGGATTACAGGTATGTTCTACCACACCTGGCTAATTTTTTTGTAGAGATGAGATCTCATGATGTTGCCTAGGCTGGTCTTGACCTCCCAAAGTGCTAGGATTACAGGCTTGTTTATCTATTTTGCTGTGCAGAAACTTTTGGTTTAAGTTTCACTTATTTTTTTATTTTTTACATTTGCTTTTGGGGTTTTAGCCATAAATTCTTTGCCTAAGCCAATTTCCAGAATTTTCCCCTGGTTTTCTTCTAGGATTCTTATGTTTTCAAGTTGACGTTTAAGTCTGTAATCCATCTTAATGTTTGTATATGGTGAAAAAGATAGGGATCAAGTTTCATTTTTCTGCCTGTAGCTATCCAATGTTACAGCACCATTTGTTGAATAGGGTGTCTTTTCCGCAGTGTTTTTATCTGCTCTGTCAAAGATCAATTGGTTTGTAGGTATTTGGTTTTATTTCTGGATTCTCTATTCTGTTCCATTAGACCACGTGTCTGCTCTTGTACCATACCATGCTGTGTTGGTTACCATAGCCTTGTATAATTTGAAGTCAAGTAATGTGATGCTGCCAGCTTCGTTCTTTTAGTTTAGGATCACTTTGGCTATTGTTCTATTTTGTTGGTTCTATATGAATTTTAGGATTGTTTTTTCTAATTTTCTAAGAATGACATTGGTAGTTTGATGGGATTGCATTGAATCTGTAGATTGCTTTGGGTAATAAGGTCATTTTAACAATGATTCTTACAATCCATGAGTATGGGATGTTTTTCCCACTTGTTCTATGTCTTCTGTAATTTCTTCCATCAGTGTTTTGTAGTTCTCCTTGTAGAGATCATTCACCTCCTCGGTTAAATATATTCCTAGATATCTTAGCTTTTTGGCTACTATTGTAAATTGAATTGTTATTGATTTGATTCTCAGTTTGGTTGCTATTTGTGTGTAGTAGTGCTACCGATTTGTGTGTATTGATTTTGTGTGCTGAGACTTTACTGAATTCATTGATCAAGTCCAGGAGTCTTTAGCATTCTCTAGTTATAAGATCATGTTGTCAGCCTACAGTCTGATTTCTTCTTTTTCGATTTGGTTACCCTTTATTTATTTCTCTTGCCTGACTGGCTAGGATTTCCAGTACTAGGATGTGGGCATTCTTTTAATGGCTTATAATGGTAAATATAAAAATGCCACAAAAAATGCTAGAAACAGATGCTTTTTTTTTTTTTTTACTGAGTTGGCATCTCACTCCATCGCCCAGGCTGGAGTGCAGTGGCACACTCACGGCCACCCCAGTGTGTCACCCTGCTGGGCTCAGGTGATCCTTCCACCTTAGCCTTCCAAGTAGCTGGAACTACAGGTACGCCATCACACCTAGCTAACTTTTCTTGATTTATTGTAGAGATGAGGTCTCACCAATTTGCCCAGGGTGGTCTTGAACCCATGGATTCAGGGAATCCTCTTATCTCAGCCTCCCAAAGTGCTGGGATTATAGGCATGAGCCACCATGCCCAGTCAACGTTCCAGATCTTTACTCTGAATGTCTTACAACTGTGAATGGCACCTTGCTTTTCTGTTCAGTAGCGTTTGATTCATCTGTTGATATGTGTAGCTCTAGTGCAATCACTAGTTGCTGCACAAGAGTCCTTTGGTGATTTATTTTGTTTGACTAACATTGTTTCCAAATAATGCTGTGATATTCTTACCTGTTTCCATGTGTGCACATGCCAGTTTCTCTAGAAAACTTGATTACTTACCCTATTCTGTACCTCCCAGGCCTAATGCCTCGGTTCGGATGCTACACTTATTTATGGACTTTGCCTAAAAACCATCATGGGAAGATGGGAAACAGAAACCACCAGTTTATCCCACTTGATTAAAGCAACATAGTACCATAGTTGAAGTAAGGCTGGCAGCCTTGCAGATCTAGGTTTCAAACTCATATCCTCTGTTGCTGGTTGTAACTTGGGGCAATTTAAGCTTTAGTTTCCATCTGTGCAAAATCACCTGGTAGGTGGTTGTAAGGATCCGAGAAAATTGCTTGCAAACCACTTAGCTCAGGGCAAGATAGACAGTAATTGTGTAATAAGAGATAAACTTGGAATGCAGAGTCCAAATCATTATGAATTCAACTTTGAGGGTTCCAATTTATCCACATCCTTGCCAACACTTATGATCTGTCTTTTGAGTCTAGTGCGTGTGAAGTGGTGTCTTGTGGTTTTGATTTGCACTTCCTTAATTAGCAGTCATGTTGAGTATCTCTTCATGTGTTCACTGGCTATCTGTTTTACCTTCTCTGAAAAAAATGTCAGGAGTGTAATACTGAATATCTATTATATGCCAGGTACTTGAGGCTACATAGATTATTTCACTAGCCCCTACTATGATATGGTATTATACTCCCTATTTAATAAATGGGACAATTAACACTAGCAGGATTGAATCACAGATTTGCATTCAAATTTTAAGTCCATTTAAAAAGCATGCACTTGTTTGTAAGTGTTTACGGATTGTTTCATTCTTCTATGAGTACTCCTGTGTTTTCAGTTACAATCTAACCACAGCAGTGAGCACTTAACACGACTACCCCACCAGGTTCTCTGTGTCCTTGTGCCAAGACATCTGTGCACAAGGCAGACAGAAAACAGCAGATCAGAGAAGGCAACCTGCCAAGGTCATTCAGTAGAGCAGAGGCTGAGACTCAGGCAAGACAGAGGCCTTGAGTGTGCTTAGATGACAACCCTGCCCTCCCCCCGCCCCCCACTGCATTCACTCACTTTCATTTCAGAGTGTGGGTGTGTGCTAAGATGTGACAGGCAAGATCCCAACCAACCATCCACACTGTTAGGATAAGACATGGGCAAGAGAAACCCAAGACTGTAATAAGGAAACTTTTTAACTATATGGACGGAAGGATCATGGTTTCTACAGAAAATGCAATATATTTAAGTACATCAGATACAATCTTGGGAGGAATAAGAAATAGTTCTTCTACTCCTTAAAGGGAAGGCTCCAAACAGTATTTATTGTGCTGTTTTTATAACAAGGATAAGATTAAGCCTTTGGATTCTGTTATGGGTTGAACTGTATCATCCCAAAATTTATATATTTAAGCCCCAACTTTCAGTACCTCAGACCTTTTTGGACACACAGTTGTTGCAGAAGTAATTAGGATGAGGTAATGCTGGAACAAGGTGGGCCCTAATCCAACATTATGTTCTTACGAGAAGAAATTTGGAGACAGGCACCCACACAGGGAGACCACCATGTGAAGGCAACAGAGATCAAGATGAAGCACCTGCAAGTCAAGGGGAGCCAAAGACTGCCAGTAACTACAAAAAGCTGGGAACAGACCTGGAGCAGATCCTCCCTCACAGCCAGAGAGATTCAGCCCTGCCCACACCTTGATTGCAGACTTCCAGCCTCCAGAACTGTGAGAGAACACATTTCTGTAGTTAAATCACCCAGTTTGTGGTTCCTTGTTATGGCAGCCCTAGCAAATGAATCAAGTAGGCAAACACAATGGCCTCATAGGAATAAACACCTTAATTTCACTCCAGGGGTAAAGATAAGGATTAACTCTGACTACCAACATCAGTAATCTATATATCAAACAATTATGACTGTTCCTCTCCCCACATGTTTATTTCAGCTAGTTAAGGCCCTGTGATCAATATCTCAGAGATCCTCAGCCCTTGAGTTTCACGCACTTTTTCAAAGGCTTTAAATAGTTTAAAATATTGCCACATGAAAATGGCTCCACAACATTCATCCACAGGCTGACAATGCGCCTCAGTATCTGTATTTGGTGGAGTAGTCCTTGGGTGACACCACCAGGCCGCGACCTTTGCGAGCCCCACGGTACACAGTCTCTATGATGTCGACCATCTCCTGCTTGTCCTCCATGGCCCAGTTAATCTTGTTGTTGTTGCCAGTCCCCAAGTCAATCATGATGTGCTTGTTCCTGCAAAGAAAAAAAGGATACCCATCCTTACAAAAATATTTTAAAGAATTTCATGAAAAAAATGCTGTTTCTCCCCCTTGTTACAAGCTTTTGTCAACAAAATTTAAGTACACATACAACCAAGAGGGTATTACCACGATTTAGAAAAAGGCAGGAAACAACCTTGATACGTTTTTAAAACAATGCAATGCATTGTCCACCAGGTCTTTTCCGTATTTCTTTCTTTTTTTTTTTTGAGTTGGAGTCTCACTCAGTCACCCAGACTGGAGTGCAGTGGCTGCTCCCGGCCACCGCAGCCTCGACCTGCTGGGCTCTGGCGATCCTTCTACCTCAGCCTTCCAAGTAGCTGGAACAACAGGTGCACGCTACCATGCCCGGCTGGTTTTTTTGATTTATTGTAGAGATGAGGTCTCGCCAAGTTGCCCAGGTGGGTCTCAAACCTGCGGGCTCCCAAAGCGCGGGATTACAGGCTGAGCCACCGAGCCCAGCCCCGTATTTCTTTAGGACAAATATCCTAAAGGGAAATTAGAGAGTCAAAGGACATAGTCCTAGTCACTTGGAAAGACAAATTGTTTTCCGGTGGGTTGTATTAATTTACCTATAAAAAAGCAATGTGTAAGTTTTTCACAGTGCTCTTATGAACATTTAGCATATATTTTAAGAACCCTACAATTGTGAAATGAAAACAACACTTTAAGTGTCTATGATCAAGTAAGTAGAAGATTCTTTACATACTCAACTTTCAAGAGGCTAGATTGTCTCCTATGGATGGATATATATGCGCACTTTACAAGGGCTACTTTGTTGGACTTGTGTGAATTCTTCGTAATGGTTGAGAATAGATCTTAACTTAATGTTTCACTTCTACAAGGTCATACATTTGTCTTCCATCCCCTGTTCCATGGCAAGTGCTCTGCATGAGCTCTCTGGTTTGGCCTACTCTCAACCAGAGCAAGCTAAAAGGCAGGTGTGATGTTACTCTTCTGCTTCAAGCCTCCACTTCCACAACAACATTCCAAATCCTCACATTGGCCCAGGAGTCCAGGGTCTGGGCCCTCACTTCCTACCACACTCCCACCTGCCCTGTTGTTGTTTGCCTCCCATGTCACTGGCAGGCCCAAATACAGTGTGCACCCAGCTGCCTCTACACTGACTCCCCGCCACCCTGTCTTGTTTAGGTACACTTCTTCAGTATCTATATCTCACCTAAGACCTGCCCTTGTATTTCCTTGTCCCCCTTTGCTAATTTACTTAGATGTTTCTTCTATCAGACGAAGTTCTGTAAGTGGGAACCCTATCTTATCTGACATTAGGTCCCAGCTCTAGACCACAAAACCTGGTAGGGGCTCAATACGTAAATTAACTAAATATTAATACCACTTATCTTAGAAGTCTGGTTCACAGAAACAGAAGGTCTTTTTTTCCTGAGTACACAATTAGTCCTAAAATTACCAAAATGCACAAAGTATGCCACTGCCACCACCCAAGGCTATTCCCTACAGCCTCCTTGTCCTTCACAGCACCTCCAGCCCAGGCTGGCCTCAGTCACATGCTGTGGGGGCAGAGACCCAAGAAGGCCCTCTCTATTCCCATTTGAAGAAATGGGCTCAGAAGGCAGGGAGGAATTTGTTACTGGGAAATGGAGGAAAGAGACCCTTGCTACAGGGTGGCACAGTAAATAGGACATTGCTGTCCTGCAGTTATGTGAAAGTCTGAACTCATAAGTCAATAACTTGGGATATTTAGCTGAGAAAATTTCTAAGCAAAGTCTTAAAGATGCTGCCTTCAAGAGGAGAGAGACAAATTGACATAAGAATTATTAACAAAAAGAATAATTTCTTTAGCCTCTCGATATGGCCAAAGATGCTGAAATGTGCGGCAGAGAAAAGAATGAAGGTTGGGCCAGGAAAGCTTCTGCTGAAACTTAGGAAAGATCAAAGGGTCACATGAGAAGAAGGGCGTGCCCCCTCAGATCTTCTTAACCAAACAGGAGGTACCCAGGAAGCCTAAGGGCATGTCCAGCTTGCAGGAGGAGGGCAGACAGCACAGGGGTGGGGCTGGTGTAACAAATGCTGCTGGCAAGCAGAAGCTGACAAACCACCAGGCTGCAAACACCTTCATGAAAAAGGAAAACCCATGGGCAGAACTCTTCCCAGAGGGCAGAACCAGGAGCCAGGAGGATAACCCACAGGACTTGAAGCCTGAGTTTACCTAGCTCTGGATTGAAGCTTCCTTTTCTTCCCATCTCCCCTTTTGAAGCAGGCATGTTTCTTAGGCCCACCCATGTTGTATTGGGAGGTGACTCTTAGTTTACCAGATTCACAAGTTGAGGAGTGGTATCCATCCACTAGCTCAGATGGTCTAGATGATGTGATTATGGACTCTGAACTAATGCTGTCCTGGGGTAAGATCCTTGGTATCCTTGGTGAGGGACGTATCCTACATGGGAGGGACATGAAATCTCTAGGGGCCAGAGGGCTGACTGCAGTAGGCAAAATGTTAAAATGCCCCCATGACTTTCTGCCCTAATCCTTGGGCCTGTGATACAATGATACTTCCTGCCTGTGATCCTGTTACTTGGCATTGCAAAGGGAATTTTACAGGTGTAATTAAGGTTCCTACTCAGTAGATTGTAAAATAAGGGAATTACAAGTAAATGGACAAAGATGGTATATACACAGTTGATCTTTGAACAACATGGGTTTGAACTGCATGGTTCTCTTATACTTGGATTTTCTTCTGCCTCTGCCACCCAAGACAACAATACCAACCCATCTTCTTCCGTCTCCTCCTCAGCCTACTCAGCATGAAGACCATGACGATGAAGACCTTTATGGTGATGCACTTCCACTTAATTAATAGTAAAGATTTTTTTTTCTTATGGTTTTCTTAATGTTTTTTTCCTAGCTTACCTTATTGTAAGAATACCATATATAATAAATATACAAAATATGTGTTAATGGACCATGTTCTTGGTAAAGTCAATAGTAGGGTACTGGCAGTTAAGTTTTTGGGAAATCAAATTACACTTGGATTTTTGACTGTTGTGGGTTAGTGTTCAAGGTCGACTAGATGTACAACAGCGTACTATTCACCCATAAACAGAAGGAACTCCTGCCATTTGCCACAATATGGATGTACCTAGAGGACTTTATGTTAAGTGAAATATACCAGGCATAGGAAGCCAAGTTCTCACACTCTCACTCATATGCAGAATCTAGAAAAGTTACCTCACACCTGAGGTCGACGCTGGGGTGGCTGTGAGTGTGCCACTGCACTCCAGCCTCGGCAACAGAGTAAGACTCCAATTCAAAAAAAAAAAAAAAGTTACCTCACAGAAGTAGAGAGTAGAATGGTGGTTACCAGAGACAGGGGTGGTTAGGGACCAGAGGAGGTTGGGGAGGTGTTGATCAAAGAATACATATTTATAGCCAGGAGGAATAAGTTCAAGAGATCTACTGTCCAGCATGGTAACTATAGCTAATGACAATTTTGGTATTCTTGAAAAATGCTAAGAGAGTGAATGGAAGTGTGCTAATCACAAAATGATAACTATGTGAGATAATGCATTTGTTAATTTGCTCGGTTCAACCATTCCACAATGTATATATATACTTTAAAACTTGTACGCAATAAATACATACAATTTTATATATCAACTTAAAAAATACATTTAAAAAAAATTAAAATGAGATTATCCTGGATTATTCAGGTGAGTCTGATCTAATCACACAAGTCCTCTAAAAGCAGATGTTTTCTCAGGTAAAACCACAAGTCAGAGAGACTATGTGAACAGGACTCAACATGCTGGTGCTGGGTTTGGAGACGAAAAGGGTCTCTGGGAGCGGAGAATGCTCCAGCTAACAGCAGCAAGGATACAGACCTCAGACCCAGCACCACAGGAGCTGGATGTGGCCAACAACCTGAATAGGCCAAGTAGGTTCTTCCTCCAGTTGAGCACCCAGCTTATGATTCTGGCCTGTGAGAACTAAGTAGACAATTCAGCTGGCCCTGCCCAGACATCTTACCTATACAACTGTGAGCTTAGAGATGGCTGTTAACTTAAGCTGCTAAATTTGTGTTAGTGTTATTCAGAAAACAGAACTAATGCCTACCCTATGCAACCCACTCAGACCTTCCTTACCAATTAGGAGGCTCTATTTTGGAGTGTGGTCTAATGCTCACATTGCTAGCCATCAACCTCTACAGTAACTATGACCAATTTTTAAAAAACTGTCAAATGGTGATTCCTTTCCAGTTACATCTCCACACTAGACTTTCTCTGCTAAAATAATCTTATATTTATAAGCAAAGTAACTAAATTCAGGTTTTCCTCTTGAGTATCACAAAAGGACTCTAAATAAAGTCACTGATACCATTATTTAATAAGTGAGTTATTTTAAAACATATTTTTGCTGGGCTCGGTGGCTCAGCCTGTAATCCTGCGCCTTGGGAGGCTGAGGTGAGTGGATTGCCTGAGCCCGCGGGTTCAAGACCTGCCTGGGCAACTTGGTGAGACCTCATCTCTACAATAAAAAAATTAAAAAAGAAAAAAAAATCAGCTGGGTGTGGTAGCGGGTGCCTGTAATTCTGGCTATTCGGAAGGCTGAGGCGGAAGGATCGCCGGAGCCCAGCAGGTCGAGGCTGTGGTGGCCGGGAGCAGCCACTGCACTCCAGTCTGGGTGACAGAGTGAGACTGCAACTCAAAAAACAAAACAAAACAAAAACAAACCAAAAAAACACATATTTTCATCAACAGATTATAGTTAAGAATATTTTAAATGTCAGTAAGGATGCCTTCCATTTAATTATACTTTATCTAGGTTTCTGGGCAGTTATTTCAAAAGGGTAATAATTTGTTACTGAGTATATGCTAAAACTGAGTTTATTACTTTGAAAATTATTTACAAGATTCACACTGATTGCTTGGTGATACAAACTGTACTGGTATAGCTGTATAACTAACTTCCTTCTAAAGATAACTAAAGATATCTTGACCAACAATATTCCACTTAAATAACAACTTTAAGATAACATACCTGAAGAAAAACATCACAGTACATGGATCATATAACTCATACATTTTGTTGAAGTCAGGTACTTCTGTAATATCCACAAGATAAATAACTGCGAAATTTTTAACCTAAAAGTAAAGGAGATAAAAAAACAAACAAACCTAAAATAGCAGATCGGTTTGGTTTTCATTCTATAAAAGCACGTTTAAAAAACAAAACCAGGACAATTTTTAAAGCAATCATCCACATTTTCCCCAGTTAAGGCTCACACACAGGGAAACAGTGAAGCAGGATCAGGATCCTGCCCAGCTGGCTCCTCACACCTCACTTCAATACTTCTCAGAATCCTTTAGGAACCAGTTAAACTGTTGTAGAGCAACAGGTTATACAAGTCCTGTAGAAAATGCCCACAGATATATCATTCATGCTGATCTAGTAATAATCTGTATCAACTTTTCCAAGTTTGCACTTAATTACATGCATTAAACAACTGCCCTAAATCATGTCTGTAGAATCTAGCCATCTACCCCACTCCCCGGTTTGAACACTTGCAAATACTAACAGTATCCCATTATAATATGGTATATAACAAATTTTCCATAATTTTTTAAGTTCATTAGAGAAGATTTAGAAAAACCAGAAAGACATAAAGAAAACAAAATCTCCAATCCCAATACCCAGAGATGATTGCCGTTCATATTCTTTATTCACTTTTTTCTGAGTATATTTTTAAAAATCTGTCTACACTACAATATCACAATATTTTGTATCCTTTTATAGGCACTCATATACTTTCTAAAAACACAATTTTTATGGCTGCATGATTCATCAAACGTCTATGCCATTATTTTACCATTTTTGTTATTTGCCGATATTTCATGAATATAGGTAACTCAGATTACGTAATTTATTCACCTGTATTTTTACCCTGAAATTGGTGTACATACTTCATTATTTCCTAAAAATAAATTCCTAAAATAGAATATTTTGAACAAATGATATGGCATTTTATTTTATTTATTTATTTTTTGACTTGGAGTCTCACTCTGTCACCCAGACTGGAGTGCAGTGGCCACTCCCGGCCACTGCAGCCTCGACCTGCTGGGCTCTGGCGATCCTTCCACTTCAGCCTTCCGAGTAGCTGGAACTACAGGCGCGTGCTACCATGCCCAGCTAATTTTTTGATTTTATTGTAGAGATGAGATCTCGCCAAGTTGCCCAGGTGGTTCTCAAACCCACGGACTCAGGCAATCCACTCACCTCAGCCTCCCAAAGCGTGGGATTACAGACTGAGCCACTGAGCCCGGCTATGATATGGCATTTTAAAGGCTTCTCATAAATATTGAGTCAATGCCCTCTAGAAAGCATATACCAACTTTTGTGTGTTATGGGTTGAACTGAGCCCCCACAGAGACATGCTGAAGTCTAACCCCCCAGTCCTGAGAATGAGACTTATTAGTTAAGGTAAGATGAGGTAATACTACAGTTGGTGGACCCCTAGTCCAACATGACAAGTGTCCTTACACAAAAACAGCCACGTGAAGACACAGACACAAGGTGGCCCTTAGGGCACCAAGGACTAGAGTGAGGTCCACAAGCCCAGGAACACCAGAGAATAGGAGAAGCAAGGAGAGATTCTCTCTGACAGGCTTCAGAGAAAGCATGGCCCTGCCAACACTAATATTGGATTTCTGATTTCCAGAACTGTGAGAGAATAAACGTCTGCTGTTTTAAGCCTCTCAAGTTTTTGTTTTGTCATAGCACCCACAAGAAACCAATACAATATACATATCATTTCTTCATTTTAAACTAATTCCAAAAACCTGACTCATTTGCAAATGAAATAACATGGTATCTGGAATTTGCCTCAAATATACAGCCTAAAAAAATGAATGGTTAGGTAACACAAGACTAGACAAATATTGATAATTGCTTAAATTGACTGATAGGAACAGAGGTGTTCACTATACTTTTCTCTCTTTTTGAGAATATTAAAAATATTAAAATATGGAAATGAAAAAAACAGCGAGAGTCAGAGGGGAGGAGGGAAAGGGAAAGGAAGAAAGTTTACTCTTGGCGAGGACTCCATCTGCCGTCCAGCTCTGGGGAAAACCTTAATACATCTCCAGCATGTTGGACTCTGCGAGTACACCACCACCACCCACATGTCGCTTTTGAAACCCTTAATGTGCTGCCTGCACAACATCACACCAGCTGCTCTTGTCACTCATTCTAGGTGAACACCTGCTTCTGAAACTCCCTTAGCCCATAGTGAGGACATGCTGGTCAGGTTGCTAGAACCCAGTTTCATTTTCATGGTAAACTAATAAACTGTATTCTGGTTTTATTTAAAAAGAGTACCTCACTACAGAAATTAAAATAAATAAGCCAATTTTATTTATTTATAAAACAGTCACAGGTGTTAGGAAAGTCAAGGTCCCATTTCATTTTTATCTTCAATGCCTTCCTCTGTCTCTCTCTGTCTCTCTCTCTCTCTCGCTGTCTAAACACCAATAAAAATTATATTAATTTATGGAATCACTATTCAAATATCACTCTAAAAATCTAATGGACAGAGTTGGAAATTGTGTACTTTAAAGAAAAGTAAGATCACAATAAATTTTTATCATTTTTTTCTTGTATGTAACAAATATTAAGTAATATAATATAATCAGAAGTCAACTAAATAAATGTAACTTGTTCAAAGATACAAATGTGTATCTCCTCCTGCCTTCAAGCTCTAGCCCGCTGCATCTAACCGCCATGAATTCTAGCAAAAGCAAACTATCATGTCAAGCCCATGTACCATAACATCCTCTTATTTCACAGGCTGGTTTCATGAATCCACTATGCACAAGGCACTTTCCACTCATGGATTCTAATTTTTTTCAACACCCCTAAATAGACTTGGTTGAGGTTTTACATGTGGTGGAATTAAGGCTCCACTAGGTCACATGACACCAAGCCACATGAGGATGTAGCAGAGCTGAGACTAAATCTTAGGCTGGCTCAAAAGCCCTATGACTGGGAAGAACCCTTAAACTGAGTTTTGAAGGAATCAGTCTACCCAAAGAGGCAGGGGCTGTGGAGGGTGGAGAATTTGCCAGGCTAATCGAATTCCCTATGTCTAGAGAAAGACATAAGAGAAAAGTGCCAAGTCTCACACCCAGCACCTGGGACAAGGAAGCAGAGGTGTGAGAAGGAAAGGCTGGAAGTGCAGGTGGGGCTAGGCCACAAACGACCTTACAGACTTGAGGAGTCTGGTTATTTGTTTATTTATCTCTAAATAAGGAGGGATTAGAGAATTCAGTTTTATACACATGGAGTTAGAGAAAACTAAGGAGCAAACAGAGAAAAGTTCCTATGGGTTGTGACCAGCCCAGGTCTGGAGCATGGCTGCCACCGGAAAAGGCTTGAGAGTTAATGCAGAGCCCACAGCTAGACCGAGGGCAGGAAGGGACCCTCAGCAACCAAGATGGGAGACTTCAAGGAGAGGTCGTGCTGAGTTCCCAGAGAGATCAAATCAGAGGGGACTGAAGAGTGTCTGGGACTTTGGCTCCTAGGAGGTCACAGTGACAGTGTGAGGCTGCAGGGTTGAATCCATGAGAGGACTGGAGAACAGAGGCCTTCAGTGTGGACAGCCTGCAGAAGCTTGGCTGTGGAGAGAGGAGAGTCACTGCTGGACGTAAGGAGCCAAGACAGCAGCTGCTGACAGGCAGGTAGAGGAAAAAGAAGTTGTCTCCCCCAGCCTCTCACTCCCCTCCTCGAGCTAACATCATAACAAATGTCTCCCATATTATTAAATACAGCTCCAAGGAAAAAACACCCATCCAGTGGAGTGATGTTCCCAGTTTAAACCCCAGTTCTGTGATTAATTTGTGACACCTGTCACAGGGAGTTGTCCTGAGGGTCACAGATGTTCACTTCCCAGTGCTGTAACTGACCAAAATGCTCAACATAAACCGACACTTATCACCATGTTCTCCCACCACTGGACATTTTTGTTATTTCATAGTTTGCTATAAATTATAACAAAGTTCTCACTGGGCATAAAACTATGCCTACTTGGAGTTTTTTCCTACTGAAGAAGTAGAGTTACTGGGCACGACTATTCTCAAGGCTGTTAATATAATGCCAAACTGCTTTCCAAAGGGTTATATCAATTTTATCCCTACCTGAACATTATATAACTTTTACCCCAACCAGGTAACACCTCACATTAAATATCTTTTAATATTCGATATACATAAAAACAATAGTGCACTTTTTTTTAAGCAAAGTTTATTTAGAAAGTAAATGTGAGAGAGAAAGAGGAAGAGGGGGAGAGAGGAGGGAGAGAGAGGAGAAAGGCGGGAGGGAAGGAGGGAGGGAGAGATAAGTTTACTTAACCAATGGAATTCTTTATTTCTAAGTTCGGTGCCCATTCACCCACAGTGTTTTAAATTTGTCTATTTACATAGCCATATACAGTATAAGCCTATATCTAAAATATTTGCAGTAAATTTAACTCATTGTTGAATAGTATCGATTTTTCTAACCAACTACTATATATGTACAAATTTCATTTCTTTTTTGAATTATGACTTCAACCTACTGAGTTGTTTTTTTAATATGTATATATATTTTTGATCATCTACAACAGTAAATACATTTTTCAATCATGTTGCCTACACATCTCATAATCGTGCTTTCTCTTCAGACAAGGCAGTGATTAAAGTGCTCAGCAGTCCTTCTGATGCCACTAAATCTACTTCTAAGTAACAGCTAAATAACTCTATAAACATGTGGCCGAAGGCTGGCACATGCCAACTACCATTCCACATTTTTTATGGAGTACCTCAACCAGCTAAGAATCCATCTAAAATACTGGAAAAAATGTTCTGAGCAGTCAATTGGAACTACAAATTTTTGAAGTGTCAATTTTTACATTTTTAGGTAATTCATTTCAAAGCCATAAAAAAAAAACCTGAGTGATACCTTCATTTTCTGAAACCAGTATTTGCCCTGATTTAGCTCTACTACAATAACTCTTACAAATTTGGTAATGTGAAAGAGGTAATGACACTAACAATGATGACCGAATATGCTACTTGCTGTGTGACAGGAAGTATTCTAGAAATTTTTTCTATTACCTCACTTATCTCACAAAAACTCCATGAGTTTGGCACTATGATCTCTTTTTCACAGGTGAGGTGAGGCACAGGAACACATAAAGATCACATAGCTAGCAAGTTGCAAGAACTTAGCTTGAGTCTCACTGTCAACAACCACTGGATACTACCCCCATACCTTACTGCTAGCTGCAAAGTTGTTTTTAATCAGACAAAAATTCACAGGGAATATAAAAAACACACATTCTGTTTGTTCCTACAGATTCTTCATCTGGCTGAGCACTGACTCCCATCAGTTCAAAAGACTTCCCATAATCTTCAGTGTGATGCTGAAGACAGAGTCCCTAATATGGCTCCTGAAAAGTTCCATAAATGTTTCTGCCTTATATACAATTTTACTAGAATGTATTGTCAGGAGTCAATGATATCACTGAGGATTTTAAAAAAGTTTTTTAAAGACAATGTCTCACTCTGTCATAGCTTACGTAGCCTTGAACTCCTAGACTCAAGCAATCCACCCATTTCAGCCTCCTGAGTCACTGAGATTACAGGCATGTGCCACCATGGCCAACTCACTGAAGATATTTTAAACTCTACTTGTATGGGCTTTTGAATACAAAAATTAAACATCCCATTTATTCTTACCCTAAATCCCTAAACCCATGGGATTTGGGTAATAGTGAACCACAAAGCACTGCTGTGGTTCTACAAACCATATTCTACAAAAAGGAAAAACAGCTCAAAATATGTGAAATCATCTCTTTTCAAAACTGTGCATAAAACCAGCTGCTAAACAGAAAATTTTATTTTTTATTTATACTCTATCAAATAAGCTGCCCCACACTTACTAACAGAAAATTCTAGACATCTGTAAAATCTTGAAGTATATCTCTATGATTCCAGACTAACTTTCTTCATTAAGTTTATAGCTCAAATGCAGCATGAGGTGGGGTGGGCACTGTAGAGGCAGCAAATCAATACCACACATTCTAGAAGCAACAGTATAGTCAAATCCAGCCTGAATATGTGGAACTTTTACTCACTTTAAAACAGCTGGGATATCCAAACAGGGCTCGTAACAAGGTGAGGAAGATCCCCCATTATCTGCCATTTCTGCAGAGGGAGATTTTTAGAGAGTTATATTGTTCTTTATACTAAAACCGTAAATTTCAAAAATTCCTGTTGAGCTTCCCCCAAAAGGGCTTGCAGAATTATGAATTCATACTTTGCCCTTATATTAAGAAGAAAATAAACCATTAAGTCTTTTAATGAATTTCAAGTTTGCATTTTAAATAACTATACTATAATGCTATATTAAAAGTTTACTATAAAGTTATCCAAATTTTGGACAAAAAAGAAAAAAGAGACTAAAGACCAAAGAAAAGTGAGCCCAATTAAATTGTTCTTATCAATAAATAGGTTCAATACCAAAGTATGCGTCCACTAGCAATAAGAGCGATTCAGTCTATAACTGACATAAAGGAATTAGAAAAGAAAAAAAGAAATCTGGTAAAGTCCCTAAACACTTACATTCACACATGAAATCTGTTTTCTAGCTAAGAGCATCTTGCTGAGCTTTGCTCAGACATGACGAGCCAAAGGCCCTCACACCTCTAGCCATCCTAGCCTCGTGCTGCCGGCGGCAGGGTCTGAACGCCACCTGATGGTTATGCCACCACCTGCAAGGTAGAACAGTGAAAGATTCTAGAACACACATCTCAAATTATTTCAAAGTCAATACAGCAGTGATTTGCTTATGAGAAAACTGCTTTTAGTCAACTTTTTTTTTGAGAAAGCAGGATTTATTAAGAGGACAGAAAAGCTCGCACAGTGAGAGGGGACCCGAGAGGGTTGCCCTAGTCAACTCTTTGCTGAATTTCAGCAGTTATCTGTCCTTGTCCACTATTGCTTAAGCAAAGAAAAACTGAAGCCCTGGCACTGCCTCACTCAATACCTCTGACCCCTGGCTGGCAGGACCCCAGCATGTGAGAGTACTGCTGCTCTCCTGGATTCCCCAGGCACCTCCGCAAGTCCTCACTGTCTTGGTGTCCAAGAGGAAGAGGCTGGGAGATAGCTGATGATCAAAGCACTCCTTTTCTGACCCTGCCCTCCATTGAGGGGTTTTTGAAAGTGTGATCCAAGGCCAAGTCACATCAGAATTCCCTGAGGAGTTCCTTTTTTTTTTTTTTTGAGTTGGAGTCTCACTCTGTCGCCCAGACTGGAGTGCAGTGGCCGTTCCCGGCCACCGCAGTCTCGACCTGCTGGGCTCCGGCGATCCTTCCGTTTCAGCCTTCCGAGTAGCCGGAATTATAGGCATGCACTACCACGCCTGGCTGATTTTTTTTATTTATTGTGGAGATGAGGTCTCGCTGCCCAGGCGGGTCTTGAACCTGTGGGCTCAGGCAATCCACTCACCTCAGCCTCCCAAAGGCGCGGGATTACAGTCTGAGCCACCAAGCCCGGCTGAGGAGTTCCTTTAAAAGCCATTTCTGAACCTCATCCCATACCTATAGAATCAGAATTTCTGAGGTGCATTTTAGTAAGCACTCCAAGAGATACTTGTAACAACCAAAATATAAGAACACTCCCTAACACCCTGCCTCTCTTACTAAATAGCAAATAGTAAAAATTAACCCTTTGCACTCGGATGTTCCCTCTGAGGGGACATAGATTGCTGGTGGTTATAAAGGACAAACTTATGCAAGTGCAAATTTTTCAAAAATGTATGTTCCCTTGAAGTTTTCCATTCAAATTGCATAAAAAAGCAAATAAAGAGATAGAATATATACTGAAATATGATCGATCGGTTGACAGTGGTTTTCAAGAATCACGAGTGCATCCTTCCACATCTTCTTTGAACAACAGATTAGACAATAAATTACATAGTAATGTGGGAGGAAGAAAATGAGACTGCATTATCTGCTCAAATAGAAAAACACCAGGTAGAAGACATCAAATTACTATTGCACAACATGTATCAATAAACCTACAATGCGTGTCATGACTATTTAACATGTTACCACATGTTAGAAAAATGTAAGATATAAAATGTTAGGTTTTTTTGTCATAAATAAGTTCCTCAATGTCCAAAATTCTATTATAAGCCAAATATCATTACAATAAAATAATGAGTTCCATCACTATGCTATTTAATATAAAACAATTTTTCACTATTTCGTTAAAAAGTGCTGTTGAGGCCATTGCCTTGCTAAGCTAAGGCCAGGCCATGTGTTCCCAAGCTTTGGCCCCCTCCCCTACTTTGGGGAGGTGAATCTCCTCTTTCTCCTTTTTTAATTTACTTTCTAAAAAAACTATATTTTCTAATCTAAAAAAAAGTGCTGTTGAGTTGCTGGTAGGTGATCTGTGAGATATTCACGAGTGCAAAGGGTTAACAAATGGGCAAGATAGTCTTTCCTTTCCTAAATGTAAAATATATCTTTATATCTGCTACTATTTACTCAAAGGAGTTATTTTAACCCAACTATGTTAATATCTGTGAAAGGTGGCTTCAATGTTTACTTTTACTTTTCATTAAAATGCTCTCAAATATGGAATATTAATATGTCAAATATTTAATTAACATCTTAATATTTTTGCTTTTTGCCTTGTGGCTATAACTGCAAAAACCCAAGTAAAAGTTCTCCTAGAACTGACAAAGGAAATTATAGAAATAGAATTAAACCCCTGGTTATACAATAGTGTCCTAAAATTGTACTTTTATTGTCAGCAAGCAAGGGCCACAGACCATGCAGTATACTAATGTCGAAATTTTAAAAATTAGTTCAAATAAAGCATAATTCTATTGTCTCCTGATGTTTTCTGCATTTTAATCACTCTAAGGTATAAAACGACTTACAAACAGCAAAGTGGGATAAAGAAAACAAAACACCACCACCAAAAGAAAAAGAACAGGATCTACTGTGTTATTAATATAAAAGTTCTGCTTATCAATACGACAAATAAACAAGGTACCAGAAAAAGACGATCCTTTTAAGCTAAACTATTTAAAGTAAGCTTCAATGCTGTCAAAGTCTGCAAATGTATTTTGTTCATTGTACTATAAATTTTGAAAAAGCACCCTATTAACAAATAATTAACTTTTGGAGGGGAGGAGAATCATAAGCCTCTTTAAAATGTAAAAACAATAGAAACTTCTCCCAGAAAAATACCTCTACTATTCTGCACAATTCCAGGGAGCATATCCTAACATCTCAAAGATAAGAATCTGTCTGTATACTAATCTGGCTTCTTCTCTTTATTGGTGAAGGAATTCACAGAGAAAATCTCGCTTTTAAATTACACTGCCAGCTGGCAAAAATCCCAACACAATGAAATTACCAAACAGATTACGGAATACAACATAAAAAGCGGCGCTGCGTTACCTTTTCGGCTATACTGTATAGGACCTCGTCCATTTTCATGCAAGTAGGGTCCCAATCGTGTCCAAACCGAATGACGACGACTCGATCTTCCTCCGAAAGGATGGCCTGATCTACCTGCCAGCCGTTGTGCAAGTGCGGGAGCATGTACGACATCGTGCAGGCTGAACTGGGAGTCTGCAAGAGAGGGCATCCGCGCACTAGCTTCCACCCAGCCCGACGGCAGGACACCGCTTAGAGTCTATCAGAAAACTTCACTCACCCAGGAGCTTCATCTGGACCCTGAATCTATCTCTCCGCCCCGCCTCTAGGACCGCAACCCGGACGCAGACCCCCCACCCCCCACGCCGCTCACAGGACAGAGATCTGGGCCCAGGAACCCCCTGTCCGGCCCCCAGGACGGCGACTCGGACGTAGGAAGACACCCCGCCCCGCCACAAGGACCAGGAACCCACCCCGCACCCCCGGGATGGCGACCTGGACCCAGGATCCCCCGACTCGACCCGGACTCCAGGGCGACCCATCGCGGAGAGGGCCCCGGGCCGCCGCTCCGCCCTCGCCTAGAGGCCCCGGCTACTGGCCCACCGGCCTCCGCCGGGCCACCGGCAGACTGACACCCAGGGAAAGGTCCTTCGTGGTTGGCCCAGCTTGTCCCCCGCACCTCCCGGCCGGTGCTCCAACCTCCCCTGCGCACGCGACCCCGAAGCCCCCGGAACGCCCAAGCCCCCTCACCTCCCGGCAGCACTAGGGCTTCCAGCCCAGCGGTCCGTTCCGGCAAGCGCGCCGAAGCCGTGCGCGCCGTCGTCGTGCGTGCCGGCTGACGTCGTGCGTGCTGATGTCGAGCACGCGCGTCGGCTGCCGGAAGGGGCCTACCGGGCCGCCTTCCGTACCGGGTACGGCTTGAGTCGCTACGGAGTCGGTCTTAGAGTGGGGCTTTCCCAGGCCTCTAGGGCCCTGGTAGTCCTGCGAAGCGGCGGGCGCGGCCTTGCCGCCTGCGCCGCCCGCGCTGTGGTCCCGCCGCGGACGGGGTGCGTTCAGTAGCCCGGCGTGCGGACGCGGTTCCTTCACGCACTGCGGCTCACCGCCCTTCCTCTCGCACCTGCGTGTCTCGTCTGTGCCGTGTGTAGGTGAAGCAGTGTCTACGTGCAAGGAAGAATGACA